AGTTGATTTTGTGTATAATGATTCTTTGACAGTGTGCAAAGCACAAACGAAGTGACAGACGACTAACTGGCGAAGAAATCAATTAAAATAATGTGGTTCGCTGTAATAGAATTTTCTTAGAAGCTTCTGCCATCATCCACCAGATGGGATAGTATTTTTGTTTTGGTTTTGCACAAAGTTGATTTTGTGTACAATGATTCTTTGACAGTGTGCAAAGAGTGCGTATCATTTTGTCATTTTTTTATGCATTTCAGTTTTGAGTAGAGTGAAAGAGATAGAACCAAAACATTCTAGTACATTTGGTGAAAATGCTAGTTCAATCCAGTAGTAGTGTTGCCATGTGGTACAATCCAGTAGTAGTGGTGTAGCCATGTGGTACACTGAAAAATTGCAATAGCAGGTTAGTCACCAAAGTTTTCGAGCCGCTCCGTCTGTCACTTCGTTTGTGGTTGGAACTGGTTCCAACCCCGATAATAAACAAATTAGCTATAACCTGCTATAGCAATTTTTCAGTGTACCACATGGCAACATTACTACCATAGAGGTAACTCTAAGACCACTGGGTCCCGAAGAAAATCATTATTATTTTTGGCTCACTCAGTACCAGAACAACGGTCCCAAGCAGTCCCAAGCTATTTCACTCACCCCTGAATGTTCTGCATGAATCCACACACCCCTGATGTTATCTGTCAAACTTTCATAGCGAATCAAAACAAACATAGTGTAGTAATAGAATTTCAACTAGAATAGGGTACGTTAATCGTTTGCTTGGGACCAATAGGCTACTTAAGTGGTGAGCCAATTTAAAATCGTTAGTTTCGTATTGATTGTTGTTACTACTGGATTATACCATAGAGGTAACTCTAATGGCGGTAAGCTCCAACTCGGATTAACTTTTAATACCGTCCCTATTTGTATGATCTGAAAAATGTTTGCTCAGAGTTCTGTTGATTAACTCTGATGTCGACATCAAACCAGCCGGACATTCTTAATCGGGATTTAATCCGAGGATAATACCGGTTGGAGCTTACCACCATAAGACAAGAAGGTCCCGAAATAACGTGATCAACTTTTTGGCTCAGCTCTGGTACTATCTTCGGTCCCAAGCTAATCGATTCACCCCTCGAAACATAGGAAAAACCAATAACCCCTCATTTTATCTGCCAAACTTTCATAGCGAATCAAAACAAACATTGAGTAGTAATAGAATTTCGACTAGAATGGGGTACGTTAATCGTTTGCTTGGGACCAATAGGCTAGTCAAGTAGTGAGCCAATTTAAAATCGTTAGTTTCGTATTGATTGTTGATTATACCACATGGCAACACTAAATGTACTAGAATGTTTTGGTTCTATCTCTTTTACTCTACTCAAAACTGAAATGCATTAAAAAAAAAATGACAAAATGGTCATTGCATACAAAATCAACTTTGTTAAAATCAAAACAAAAATACTAGTCCATCTGGTGGCTGATGGCACAAGCTTCTAAGAAAATTCTATTACAACGAACCACATTATTTTAATTGATTTCTCCGCCAGTTAGTCGTCTGTCACTTCGTTTGAGGTTCCAACCCAGTGCGAAACCGAACTTTTTGTCAGTGCGAACCTCAACCTGAGGTAGGTTTTAAAAACAAACGATCAAAGTGACGTTTGTCAGAAAACAAGCAGAGCCGATCTTGATACCCGATCCAGGTTGGAACTGAATAATAAACAAATTCGCTATTAGTCACCAAAGTTTTCGAGCCGCTCCGTCTGTCACTTCGTTTGTGGTTCGGTGTTGGAGGAGGGGGGGTCAGCCGAAAAGAAACCTAACCTTTCGTGATGTGAACGCATCGGTCAATCAGCGGCCGAAAAGAGTTGGAACCGGTGGGGAACATTGTTGGAAACCAACTATAGTGGATGATGAATAGACTTCTGTAATTTGTTTTGTGTGAGTTGCAGCTTTATTTGAATTAAGGGTATTAATGGGGTCTGACGAGGGGTCTGATTAACTGCCTCTTTCTCTTAAGCCCCACACACCTCGCCACACACCTACATTTCATATTTAGATCTGTGAACTGCTGGTCTGAGTTCCTCTGGTATATTCAATTAGAGGATGTTCCTGAATATACAATCAAACAACATTACGTGAACAACTTCAATGACAGTTGTCCAGCAGTGCTCCCATTTTATTTACAACAATCCAATGCATACGAGATTGTGCCTAAAGCTGGGTTTAGACAGGGCAAGTCAATTGATCAAGTCAGTTGAATTCAATTGACTTGAACGTGAATTGAACGTGTAAACCATGCCATTCAACTGACTTGATCAACTCATTTGAATTGAAAAAAGTTGGACCAGACTCAAATTTTCAAGCCAATTGAATTCAACTGAGTTGATCAATTGACTTGAATCATCTAAACCCAGCTTAAGGGTTTGCCGATGGATGTACCCAAGCTGTGCCCAAAATAATTTCGGCACAATGTGCTGAGTGACTTACCCCTTGGATTAAGCCCTCTTATCAACGTCCAGAGATATTTCTCGAGGAACATTTCAAATGGAGGAATCTGCTTATTTTCAACATTTCCAAAAGTCCTATCTGCATTGATCGATTCTCTTCATCGACTTTCTCTTTCGTCAATAACTCAGCTGCAAAACCTTTCGCTGTTGTATTTGACGTATAGGGCGTCGTTGTGCCAATTTCGTCGTGGCACATTTCGAGTATGAGAGAGTGATTGCAGTTAGATCAAAAGTGCCTGAGAAAAATGCAAGCACTTTCGCGGATTACCCGGAGTTGCGGTAGTGAAGGCATGATCACAGACAAGCAGACATAACATGCTTAAGATGTTCATCGAAATCGCTTTTAACGGTCAATTTGCATGTTGCTTAGTTGGTACTACCGCCACTTGTGGTGTGCATAATCAATTCCCTTGAGTTTTACATTTACATGCTACAGTCATCTGTTGAGTGTAAACAACAGATGACGGTAGTATTTACAATGATAAATGTTCAATGCGCTGTGTCTGTTTGTCTGTGATATAACATTAAGGTAACGTAAGGATAAAATCAAAACATTGAGAAATATAATGCATCACTTTGAGGAATACTTCACTTCGCAACCGATGAACCATTATGAGTACCGTAAAACGGGGTATCTTTGATAATGCGGGTAACTTTAGGGTAAAGAATAAATTTACTCGCTGTGCTTTTTCCAAATAAGAAACATTGGTTCCATATTGTAGCTTAGGGTATTTCTGTTGATATGGTATATAGTTTTTATATAGTATGTGTTACATATTTTATAAAAATATAAAAAAAAACATTTTCAACCATTTCGCCTCTTTGAAAAAGCACTCAAACCATCACTTATGAAATGTATTTCCGATACAGTCATCACAAATTCAATGTTGTATTCTTATTGCTTATGAAGTTTTCTGATAATATAGTCATTCAAAGTTGATTATTTAAAGAACTAAATTGTTTGAGTTTTAGTCATTTTTTCTACATTCATCGAGCATTATTAAAGTAACCCCAATTCAAAATACTGAAATTCGGTCACAAAGCTAAAAAAAATAGTGCAAATGCTTTAATTTTCGTTCAACATATTACTAACGAATTAACTCTTGGATCCTCAGTACTTGTTTTAAAAATATAAAATTTGAAAAACAGTCATTGCTGTAAAAAATATTTAAAATATACTTTAAAAAACTATCAATGTTACCCCGTTTTACGGTACCCAAGTAATCATTTAGTCGCAATATAGCTTGTATTTACTTACTTTGCTTCAGTATGGTTAGTTGGGGAATCTGATGAAACTATCATTTCTTGAAACTAATCCCTTTCGAATTCCATTCATTCTCTTTTCGTACTTTGCATATAACACTATCTCATGCTATACTCTACATTGATTCAATTACTCATTCCGAGTGCTCGGTGGACCAGCGATTTAAGACGCGAGCCTTATGGCAGATGAAATGGAAATTAGTGCGGATTTATCTCTCTCGGAAAACAAGAAAAACCTGGAAAAGGCGGAAGGAAATTGCCGGTGAAGTGCGGAATGAAATACTGAAAAATTGTTTTATTTTGGTGTAGTGGTAAGCGTGACTGCTTTCTAACACCCCGATGGGTCTGGGTTCAATCCCAGCCGAGGTCGGTGGGATTTTTCTGAGGCATAAAAATCTCTGGTCACGTCTTCCTTCCTTCGGAAGGGAAGTAAAGCCGTTGGTCCCGGCCCATGTGTGTTGAATGGGTGCGATATCCTACGCATGTGTGGAAGCTGCCTTCCTGCACATTCGATTGCCGTCAATGAATGGCAATCGATGTCCGTCGGTGATTGGCACTAGATTGCGGAACAGAGACCGACGAAAAAAATAAAATAAATAAATACGCGCTAGGTTTGAAAAGAATATTTCCAGTATGTAATACTAATATCCAATTGATATAGATTAAATTTGAGAGTATTGCAATCGAACAGAAATTCAATCACCTTTATGTTTCGTGTGCTTCTCAAATTCAACTATGTTTTTGGAATCAAAAGCAATATTCTAGCTCTATTGATTAATTGATCTTAGTGGTTAATTAATGGAACCAAACAATGTGCAAAATATTGCGATGCAATCAATTATTAATTTACGCGTAAATCGAATCAAAAGTAAAAGTCATGCGAAATGCTAAGTTTTAGCAAGGGTTGCAAGATAATTTAGATACAAATCCCTGCTGCCGAATTGTATTTTGTTTTCTCCGCCCATCTCTCCTTCTAGTATTTCTAATTGATAGAGGTAATACATACATGCGGGGCTTATTGTAAGTGAAAGTAACCTCGGAATGGGCGTGACTCTCCAGACATTCTGAAATGGGTTGCTGGATCTGCAATAGAGTTATCACCTTCTAACTCCCGGACTAAAGCTGTCTACAATGACCGTAAATGCGGCATTGAAGAGAGAGTTCTTCCATAAAAACACTGCCGCCCAGTGGGGGTTAGAAGGAATACACACACACAAAGGCTTTCGAAACGATCATCAGTCCTTATTGATACAAAATTGCACTTCGTGCTATATTACCAAATAACTTGTCTTGAAAGAGTATTAACAACTATTCACAATTAATGCAACCTCCATTTAAGGTGTGATGAACGTACTAGAACTAAAATAATACTTCGACTATTCAATCTATTGCTCCGAATCATAAGCACACGTTCACTGGTTTAAGCATTTTTGCTGTTTTCTTCGTTTACTCTTTGGGGATGTCATAAAGCCCACATTCACGGTTGGCAGGCACGGCTTGATCTGTAAGTACAGGATAATTTAAGCAATATATTTCTATGTAAGTCGGAACACATGTTCAATAATCATTACCAATCATCGTCGGGTAGGGCAAGTTCAAGTTCTCCATAATCTCGACAAAGGCGTCGATGTCCTTTGTTAGACGGGGATTGTACAGTTTCTCTTCGGCCACGGTGGTCTCCATGTTACCCCTGTTTAAAAAAAGCATCTCAATGAGCTAAAACTGCTAAACGTTGTATTGCCGTGTGACCAAACTTACTTATAGTCGTGGGCTGGGAAGAGTCGGAAATTATCAGGAAGGGTGAAAATCTTTTCGTGCACCGATTTGTACAGAGAACGCGAGTTACCTTCCTGGAAATCGGTACGCCCACAGCCACGAATCAACAAAGTGTCTCCAGTGAAGGCGATGCCCTAAAATGATACGGTAGGGTTAAGTCTATTGCGTGCGGCAGACGGTAGAGCACATGTTTTGGTTTCACATACCTGTTCTTCGACGACAAATGTCATGCACCCGTTGGTGTGACCTGGAGTACACAAAGCTCGCACCTCGAACCGTCCAAACTGGACGACCTCGTTGTCTTTCAGATGTTTATCAGCTTTGGCTCCGCTGGCTTCGGAAATTGCGCTAACCGTTCCGGGGAGTAGCTGCTTGAGGTATCCGGTGCCAGTGATGTGGTCCGCATGCATATGAGTATTCACTGCGAACAAAAGGGAGGGTTGTTCGTCACCATTGGTTACATGATTTGAAAGTAAGAAATAATTACAAGCATAGGTGAGCTTCAAACCCAACTCTTGCATAAGCTGGGCATCTCGCTTGGCTTGCTGCAAAACCGGGTCGATGAGAATCGCCTCTTTAGAGTTGATATCGGCCAACAGGTAGGTGTAGGTCCATGACTTCTCGTCAAATAGCTAGAATGGCAAAACAAATGTTGAATACAAAGTTGAAATACTAGGAAAAAGCACTGAGTGGGCCATTCCGCACTCATGGCTCATATATCGCTCACTTTTGTGAAAAAAAGAGAGAAGCAAGTCACTCAATACATTTCCTAGTTAATGTTCAGTGTTAACAACGTTTCATTTCTTTCGCTTATCTTATTGTCAAAAATGTATGACGATAAAATGATAAATCCTTTTCTACATTTTATGCAGCTATTCCTATCGAATGTTATCAAGATAATTAGCATTAAATTCCATCGTTCATCGGTGCACTTGTTTGTGAACTTAAAAGTAGGATGGTAATAGCAAAGAAGAATACTAAGATAAAAGCAAAGAAGAATACTGAGGTTAAAAAGTAGGAAGATAAAATATTCTATTTTATAGCGTCCCTTTTATCCAATGAATACCCCCGTATGCAAGGTGTTTTTGTGGTTATGCTGCCCCCTCGATAGAGTTGAAATTCTGCGCTTTTTTATCAAAACAATCACACCAAAATCGGTGATGTCCCATTTTTAATTACTCCATAGACGAGTGCACGGGTGAACTTTTGTTCATCTACTGAAAAAAAAATTGACACAACAGCGGGGCCCTGTTTACTAAAAATGAACACATGAATAATGCGCGCGTTACATTTGAAAATGGCCTATCAACTTTTAAAAACAATTTGCTAGGTCCATTTCACGAGAACCGAAGTACGCCCCTGCAAACCAAGAGCACAATCGGGAAGGGGAAAATTTACCCTCCGATTGTGTTGTTAATTTGCGTGGACGTATTCGGTTCGCGCAAAAAGGGCTTAACAAGTTTTGTGCACAAAAGTTGATAGGCCCGTTTGAAATGTTATGCGAGTATCATGTGTTCATTTTTAGTAAACAGGGCCCCGCTGTTGTGTCACTTTTTGTCGAGTGAGTGAACTCAAATCCATCCGTGCACTTGTCTATTAACAACTAATCGATTATTGTTTGTTCGCTGTGCTGTCTTTTTTCCACTAATGACAGTACAGAACATGTTTGGGACGAATGGGTGATTCTGAAGAAGTTAATGCTTAAATCGGCATGGTACACTAAAAGAATTCCACACATTTTTATTGACGAATTTCCATGTAAAATTCCACATGATTTTCATGTGACCACACATAAACAGAATCCATTAAGAAGTACACATGAAAGTTATAAGTCAAATGAATAGTATGTGCTTTTATGTGTACACATACTAATGTCGTTTTCGTTTTTGCGGTGTAGCTACACCGGTGCTACACCGCCGAACACCGAAAAATTTCAGGGTGTAGCTATCGGTTGCACCTTTGTTTACAAACAAATTATGATGAGCTGTCAATGACTCGCGCTTATTGCTGCTTACACTACACCGGTGTAGTGTAGTAAAAACGAAAACGACATAAGTATGTATCCGACACATAGATATCATTTGTTGATCACATTGCAAAAATTCATGTGTGGGACACATAAAAACAATCTTTGAAATTTTATCAGTGTATAAACGAATACAAATATTTTTATTAATCGGTTATTCTAATAAAAATTGAACATCACTAGGTGAATGTGTAACGTCATTTCAATTTGAAAGAGACCGGGGCTAATCACAAATAACGTCCTCACGGTAACTGAAATAAACACGAGTGCTGACCGGTTGGTTATTCTATTAGATCGCTCAAGGTCTTTCATCAAATTCATGTGCATCACGCTTAAATTTGGCATGTCTAGTACAACATATTCATATACAACACATTTCATGATAATAAATCAAGTTCATGACTTTGACATTTAAATCACATGAAATTCATGTGTGCTGTAAGTGAATGGAGCATGGGTAAGGTATGGCTGATTTCATAAGGTAAATAATTCATAAAACAGTATTTTTAATTACCTTTCAAATGGTATTTTGATCTTTGAAATCGGTCAAGTGGTTCAAAAGTTATGAATTTTTGAAAAAAAAAGTCATTAAAAGAAATCGATACATGGAAATGGTCACACTAATGACAAAATAAAAATTACGGGTCTAATATTTTGCGATAAGGAGCAAAACTACCATTTTTTACGACATTCTGAAAACCACTGTATAGTTTTGCCACAGACAAACAGGCATAACACTCACAATAATATTCTTCGAAAATAAGGATTTTAGTTGGGAAAGTGCTCGCATTTGTCATGGTGGCGCCACTGAAACGTTAAGCAAGCCACTACATTTCGAACTTATCAGTGATGCCAGTTCTTTTTCAGGTCAAGGTTTTAGTAGATGTTAGTTCTTGAGAATGATAAGGGAACCAAGACATCCCACTGGAGACATATACAGTAATGACCCGATTTTTTTTTCTTGATTTGTTTTTCGTCGATCTTGTTTTCCGTGCCGAGCACCAATGCTACCGACGCCAAGAAGGCAACTCCCACACCTGGACCCTACCTATCGGCCCATCAAATGACCCGATTTTGTCAACCCCCTTTTTGAAAATCTTTTCCAATGTTCTACGAAACCGATGCGCTTTTTCAGTTGTCTTATTGCACCAAAGTATACCTTAAACACCCATCTTCAAGATGCATGGGAATGATTTGGAATAACGATTTTATGAAATTATTTAATGATAAAAGTCTGCTGCGCGGAGGGAACGACAAAATCGGGTTATTACTGTAGCATATACACAGCAAAAAAAGTTGTTGAATATTACATCGAAACTGCTGCAACCAGGTCAATCCATCGGTTGTGTAGTATCACATTGTACGATGTACATCGATTTTGCGAACAAAATTACATCCATTGATGTAATATTGTATCTGCTTTTTGCTATTACATCATTATTTCATACATCAGCTTGAATTACGTTGATCGATATTACATTTTCTTTTGCTGTGTACTAATCTGACGAATAAAGTTGTTGAATACGAGGGGGGCGACACATCTAAATCTCAATAGGGCCTGTTCATAAACTACGTAGACAGTTTTTTTTTTGATTTTTGACCCCCCCCCCTTGCGTAGACAATTGTCCATACAGAATTTTGAAAATTTGTATGGGCCGTGGATAATTGTCAACCCCCCCCCCCCCCTAAACTGTCTACGTAGTTTATGGACAGCCCCATACTAGATGCTCAAAAAATTTCACACTAGCGAATCAATCTTCGAAAACTCTCCTTTCAATTCTCGCATCTACTTGCATCTTTTTGCAGAAAATCTTCAGAATCGTCATTAATCTTCTTACTATCTATTCATCGTGTACGCAGCTAGCCACAGCAAAACACAATCTTTCCTGCAACGTAAATAGAGTCGTCCCCCTCGGTTGAATATTACTCCCAAACAGTTGATTGCTCATTTCGCTTGTTGTGTAAATTACGCTGTACGATGTACACAGAATTTGTGAACATAGGAATTTTGTTGGTGTAATATTGTATCGACTTTTAATAAATGGTGTTAAATAGGGGTAGGCGGGGCATAGTGAACAGGTGGGGCATAATGAGCACCCTGTATTTTAGCCATAAATTTCTATTTATTCAAAATAGAAAATAAAGTAAATTAATTCAATGCCGTCACTGCAATTAATTTCTAGAGAATTATTGTATTAAACGCATTTAAACTTTGAAAAATGTCGTAAAATGTGTAAGTTGGGCATATCTTGTCTACGCAATATAAAAATCAGATGATCCTAAATAAGGTTTTAAGAACTCAGAATACCGCGTCGTAGGTATTTATTTAGCTTAAACATGTTTTCAAAGCATACGCAGACTGTTTGCATCATATTACACATAATATGTATTCAATTTGATATCAAAACAACCAGTTAACTTTTTTTAATAGGGTGGGACATAGTGAGCAACCGTCGGATGGGTAGAGTGAGCAGAGAAAAGAAAGTAACCTCACTAATTTAGCAGTGGTTTGTTTTTGTTTTGATGCGTATCGCAAGTGTCGGTAATATCAACAATCAATACGAAACTAACGATTTTAAATTGGCTCACTACTTGACTAGCCTATTGGTCCCAAGCAAACGATTAACGTACCCCATTCTAGTCGAAATTCTAGTACTACGCAATGTTTGTTTTGATTCACTATGAAAGTTTGACAGATAAAATAAGGGGTTATTGGTTGTTCCTCTGTTTCGAGGGGTGAATCGATTAGCTTGGGACCGACGAGAGTACCAGAGCTGAGCCAAAAAGTTGAGCACGTTATTTCGGGACCTTCTAGTCTTAGAGTTACCTCTATGGTAATATGGTCCGCAATTACAAGAAGAGTATGTCGCATATCCTAAAGCTGGAAGTTTCCTGTTACGGAATAACTGTTCGAGACATCCGCACCTTGACTTTTCAGGTGGCGGTTCGGAATAAAATACAGCACCCGTTAAACGTCGAGAGTCAACTAGCTGGCAAAGACTGGGTCAGGGGTTTCCGGAATGTATTCTACCCCTCAATCTACTAATACCTCGTAAACTGTTGGACAAAGGTTTAACCTTTCAAGAGTATACATTTTTTTTTTTTTACTTTGGTTTGTTATTTCCGTCGATCTTGTTTTCCATGCTGAGCACCAATGCTACCGACGTGCCAGGAAGGCAGCTCCCACACCTGGACCCTACCTATCAACCCATCAACTCATGAACCGGGGACCAACGGCTTTACTTCCCTTCCGTGATCAGAGATGTTATGCCTCAGAACATCCCGGCGGCGCCGACTGGGATTGAACCCAGGCCTGCTGGGGTGAGAGGTAATCACGCTTACCACTACACCACCGGCGCCGTTAGTCAAGAGTATACATGAAACAATCAATTTGTACAAAACGTGGCTTGCTGGTATCTTAGATTCACAATTTCACACGTTCCAAAAACATGTGGTTTTCATCTCGTTCATTTTTTTTTTCACATTTCAACGGTCAGTTTATGATAATAAGATACCTTTCCAAGATTTAACGCTGCAAATGTACAATAATATTACTTACTTTATTAGATGTATGGTGAAATGCTTAACATGCCCACTATGCCCCGCCTACCCCTACATAATGAATAACATTGATTGATATATATTGTTTGCTATGTACACATTAAAGTGATGAGCGGTAGTAGAAAAGGCACGCATTAGTGATTTATTACCACGTTTATAAACTTGTTTCCAGCAAACGAAAAATCACCCTAAACAAACAAATCCCTAATCTGTACACGGTTAGAAAAAAGTACCCAAAATTAAGTTCTTTTCACTCATCTCGGCACTATAGTGCAGGAACCCAAAAGTAGGTAAAGCGGGTCAAAGTAATTTTCATTTACTTGTGTGCAGTCTGTATGGAATTTTCCACTAGCTTTGTAACCAAATGTAAGTTAGTTGTACCCAACAGTAGGTAAATATGATTATACCCAACGTTGGGTTCCCACACTTTACTACCCCTGTTGGGTGGTTTTGCTCCTTCTTTTTTGACAACATTAGAAGGAGAAAATGAGACAAACTAGTCAAAAGTAGGTAAAAGTGAACTGGCCGTTGGGTACTTTTTTCTTACCGTGTAGATCTACGAAAAATCACTGACTTGCATCCTTTTTTGTTTTTATTCAACACAGCTGACGCGTTGACAGAACGAGAGAAAAGCAACTAGTGGAAAAATTGCATGAACGAGGGATGCTCCGGTTGCAAAACAATGCTTAGGAATGTGCATGATAAAGGGTGCTAGTGTGCCTGCAAAATACGCTTTTTGTTTTTTTTTTTAAAGAATTTCTTATAAGAGGTATGTCTGTTTGCCTGTGGTTTTGCTATGGAATGGCTGTATTATGATGACAGCAATGGCATTATTATCTGATCTGATCTGATCTTTTGAATATAATCTGCTATTTCGGAAGGATGTCTTAAAAAATATCCTGTAACTTATGCAACATCCCTCAACATCTACAAAACTCCCTTAAGTTTTTCAAAATTTTCTCAACTTCTACGAAGTTCCCTGAATATATTACAAATTCCATATTTTTCTATCGCTCGATTACGATTACGATTACTTCTGGAAAGACCCCCATCATCTACAAATATTCTTGAACATCTGGAAAGTTCACGATATTTAACAAAATATCAAATACTTCCAAGAAGTTCATTGAACTTTTTTGAAGTAAGATCTCTGACAAACTGCAACGAAGTTCCCTAAACTGAAGCGAGGATCCATTAAGATCTAAGAAGTTTGCTGAGCTATTTATAGATCTTCTACAAAATTCCCTGCTCTTATATTAAGTTTTAAAAATGTTACGAAATTCCCAAAACTTCTACAAAGGTTGCTGCACTTCTACGTTTCTCGTTGATTTTCCGCGAAGTTCCATGTATGGAATATCTTGGAATTGTACATACGTAATTCTCTGAACTATGCCAAGCTCATGAGGCTTCAAAAAAGTATCCTGAAATTATATGAAGATCCCCGAACAATAATGAGGTATCCGGAAATTAAATAATGTTTAACTTCTACGAAGATTCCAAAACTTGAATAGAGTTCCCAGTTCTCCGCAGATTTCTGAACTTTTCCAAAAGATCCCTAAGTTTCTACGAATTTGTCTGAAGCTCTATGAAGTTTTCAGTATTTCTACTAAGTTTCGTTAATTTCTACGATGTTCCCTGAACTTCTTAGAAGTCCTTGAAGTTCTTCGAAGTACTCTGAGATTAAAGAAAAATCCTTGAACTCTTGGAAAATGTTTAGAGTCTGAAGACGTCTTAATATGCTATCGATTAATTGTCGATATAATATAAATTCACGACATTGTTTCTTCTTGTCTAGAATATTAAGCAAAGTAGACATTCATAAAAACCAATAAAAATAAAAAGTAACATCGAAACTGATTGACAAAATACCGGTGTATAACAAAACATCCAAAATGTCTGGTGGAGGCTAGATAACTCTTATAACTCTGGAGTGGGCTTGGCACCCTCCAATGTGAACCAATATGAATACTAATCATGTTTTTATAAGCATTGATTTTGTTTATTATTGCACCAATTTGAAAGATAGAATATGAATGTTTTAACATTGCTATTTCTTTGACTGTATCACTTCACCTTATATTAAAACGCCTTGCAGTGTCATGTGATTCGGTTCGCTGAGTAGAAAGAAGAAGCTCAGGAAGAAGAGAGAGTAAAGTAAACCACGATACAAACTCCATCATTATTATAATTAATAAACACAATTAAATACCCGTTAACTGTTGTGTAATTAATTCTCCTAAGCCTAATAATACGAATGCTCAATCATCATGAGTCATTTATTTTGAAAATTATTAAGGCAAGATAATTTTTTCACAAACATAATCAATTTTAATAAATTAGAAGTGAACTCCACAAACAATGCCGGATTTATCAAAATATGTCGAAAATTTTGCATAACTTATTCTTTTACAAAAGATTATTTCATGATTTTTTTAATGTATATGAGAACACACATACGCCCTTATTCTTAAGTCAAAATGGTCTCATGACCTGCAAAAAATATATGCCCTCATACTGCAAACATGTGAAAATATTCATACAGATCGGTGTGGAATAAACTAGATTATTTGATCAATTAAAAAAAAATACTAAAAAAATAAAAATAAATTCAGAAATCAATTCATTAAAATGTATATATCTCGGCCTAGTAAGCAGATAGCCATATTCTTCCTTAAGCAAAAATAATCTACATAAAAACTTCAGAAGCGATAACAGAAAAAAAAAATTAAAGTCCATTTTGGTTCATTTTGGTTATAGAAAAATGTTCTGATTTTGTTTTCAGAATATCAAAGCATGACACATCTACCAGTCTAGGAGAGATAACAAGTCAGCTTTTCGAAAAACAGACTTTTTGGTACACCCTAATCTACATTCTAGTTGGGGCACATAATAGCCAAGAAAAGACAAAAAAAATACAATGCAGCCGGCAACTAAATCTGTAAACCACTACACACTAGATAATACTCTTCATGGTTAATAGAAGGTCGCCGCATACTTAATCAGAATGTATGCACTCTTCTTCCACTGGTTGGGAATAAAAGCATTGCTGATAATTAATTGAGCACAAAGTTAACAGCTAAACACAAGGCTCTCCCTATTTAATTAACATAATTTAGAGGATAAAAATGAAACATTTCGAATATAGACTATATCATCTAAATCTCTACTTGTATTGCAAATAATTCAGTTTATGTATTTCAAATTAGCTACTAAACATCATAGCAAACGAAGTTTTCTTAAATCTACACACCTATTTTTTTTTATGTAGACGCAGAATCACCATGACTCGGCATTTTTTTAGGAAGGTCAACGGAGCGTAATAATAAACTCACGGATCATGATTTCTCAGCAAAGTGAAATATTTAACGACCAAGCATAAAAAAAATCTGTTGCTGAAGTACATTGCCAACATAAGCCAACGTTAGAAGTTTTTGAACTAAATAGATTATCACACATCATAGCCCTTAGGTTTTCTCAACCTGTTGCTTCGATAACGCCAAAGTTGCAGCAATAGCGGAGAATGTAACTTTCACTTTGGGGGGAGAGAGGGGGGGGGGGTCACGTAGCTCACTTGACTTACATACCTGACGGAAGAAGAAATCCGGCGAAAAAGGCTTGCGTTCTGTCAGCATGGTCACGTTCCGGAGGCTACTGGTACTTTGAGCTATCTTGACGAATGCACCGGGCTTTATGAACATTGCCTGTGTTGTGGCAAGACTTCGCGATGGCAACCGGAGAACCTTGCGAGAGGCGGTCAAAATGCGATTGACGATTGTCATGATCTGGGCGGAGATAGAGGCAGAGAGTACGTGAGAGAGTTTGGCTCTAGTAGTTTTATTGTAAATACATATACAGCACAGAATGGGTTCGATTCAACGCAGTTAATGCTTCAAGCCCTACTTTATGATAAAAGCTGACTTATCTACACCGAACCGCTAAGGAACATGATGCGAACACTGATAAGCGATCCTCGAATAATGTCGATTTTAAGGTGTTATAGCTAAAAACAAATTGTGAAAATACCGAAGCTTACTTGCTGAGGTAGATGTGTTACTGTCGAAATCTTAACACTTACTAATAAACGTTCGTTTCCGAAGGCATCAACAATTCAATCAGCTTAACAGTTGCAATATAGCACTCAAATCTTGACTGACGCGTAGGTGTGGCGGTTTCTTTAGAGATAATGTTATTGCACTTTAGGGCCCTATTTATCATCCTCAAATGTATTTATCAAGTACCTGAAGGGGATTGAGTTATCACATAACGAGCATGAACCTTATCGTTATCAATAGCCAAAAATAAAAATAGCAATGCATAACAGTTGCTGATGACCGCTGATGACAGCTGTTGGCATGTCACGTACGCTCAAGCGATGAGAAAGCCGAATTTTATGTATACTTGTTTGTGTTGAAGGTGTGCAACATAGATAATGTGCCTGTGTTGATGTTCGAAAAATATGCCTAAAGGCTCACGCACATTGCATCTGCCAGTGATACGTTGCGACAAAATGACAGCTTAATCTATTGTCTAACTGTCAGATTTTCAGCTCAATTGATCATAAGATAACAAAGTTACATCATGTCAAAGTTGACCATTTTGTATCAAAATTGGCATGTGCTGCTATTTTATCGAACACAACTGTATTATATATTACATCCAAACAGCTGCAAAGGGCTAATTCCGCTGGTTGTGTACTATTACGTTGTACGATGTACATCGATTTTGCGAACAAAATTACATCCATTGATATAATATGGTATCTACTTTTTGCTATTACCTCATTATTTCATACTTCAGCTTGAATTACGTTGATCGATATTACTTTTTTTTTTGCTGTGTTGGCGACATAACACTTATGATTGATGAACATGGAATAAATGGAATGTGTGATTCTACTGCATTACTCGTAAAACAAAACACCGGAAATTAATTTAACGATAGATTTTTTTTTTGTTTTTTTTTCCTATACCTAGGTATTTTTATTTAAGAGATTTTAGGCATAGGCTAGTTCATCTCTATTTAGCGTTAGAGCATTTCCCGGAAACTATCTATCTATCTATCTATCTATCTATCTATCTATCTATCTATCTATCTATCTATCTATCTATCTATCTATCTATCTATCTATCTATCTATCTATCTATCTATCTATCTATCTATCTATCTATCTATCTATCTATCTATCTATCTATCTATCTATCTATCTATCTATCTATCTATCTATCTATCTATCTATCTATCTATCTATCTATCTATCTATCTATCTATCTATCTATCTATCTATCTATCTATCTATCTATCTATCTATCTATCTATCTATCTATCTATCTATCTATCTATCTATCTATCTATCTATCTATCTATCTATCTATCTATCTATCTATCTATCTATCTATCTATCTATCTATCTATCTATCTATCTATCTATCTATCTATCTATCTATCTATCTATCTATCTATCTATCTATCTATCTATCTATCTATCTATCTATCTATCTATCTATCTATCTATCTATCTATCTATCTATCTATCTATCTATCTATCTATCTATCTATCTATCTATCTATCTATCTATCTATCTATCTATCTATCTATCTATCTATCTATCTATCTATCTATCTATCTATCTATCTATCTATCTATCTATCTATCTATCTATCTATCTATCTATCTATCTATCTATCTATCTATCTATCTATCTATCTATCTATCTATCTATCTATCTATCTATCTATCTATCTATCTATCTATCTATCTATCTATCTATCTATCTATCTATCTATCTATCTATCTATCTATCTATCTATCTATCTATCTATCTATCTATCTATCTATCTATCTATCTATCTATCTATCTATCTATCTATCTATCTATCTATCTATCTATCTATCTATCTATCTATCTATCTATCTATCTATCTATCTATCTATCTATCTATCTATCTATCTATCTATCTATCTATCTATCTATCTATCTATCTATCTATCTATCTATCTATCTATCTATCTATCTATCTATCTATCTATCTATCTATCTATCTATCTATCTATCTATCAATCTTGATTGATTGATTGATTGATTGATTGATTGATTGATTGATTGATTGATTGATTGATTGATTGATTGATTGATTGATTGATTGATTGATTGATTGATTGATTGATTGATTGATTGATTGATTGATTGATTGATTGATTGATTGATTGATTGATTGATTGATTGATTGATTGATTGATTGATTGGTTGATTGATTGATTGATTGATTGATTGATTGATTGATTGATTGATTGATTGATTGATTGATTGATTTATTTATTTATTTATTTATTTATTTATTTATTTATTTATTTATTCATTTATTTATTTATTTATTCATCCAAGGGTGTTGAGGTCAATGCATATTCAATGCATACAATGGAACCAAAATCCAAAATTTAATCAATTTTGGTGCACTGGAATTATTTTAAATAAGTGCGATTACATTTTCAAAACCATCTTAGCGCCCCTAGGTGGGACTTTTTTGGTAGCGAGCTGTCAATTCGTTAGTTTAGTGTCAAAAAGTGAAGTTATTATTTTGCTTTAAATCTTCATTTGAAAATCGTGATTTAAGTCTATGGGTTCGAAAAAAAAATATCGTTGTGCTCAGAAAACAAAGCTCTTTCAGATGGTGTATAAAAACCGCAAAATTAATGAACCCAATTGTAAAGCCAATTTAATTTAAAAGCCAAAACGATTTTTATAGAAATTAATACCTGTCAGCTGACATTTTGTCGATATATGTACACGTTTTCCGTGCATCATCGGTTCATTTGCTTTACCCGAGACTGTACCATTTACAACTACAGATGCAGGTAAAACCAAAACAGAAGAGTTATCAAAGTTCGAAAACGTCTTACTCGAATGCGCCACCCTGCGGTGGCTGAAAGAATCACTGCTGACATGTAGAAAGGATGACATATTATGAAATGTCAAAACATTGCAGAAATAAATATCAAAACTCCATGTAATCTTGTAGTTGGTGTAAAATTTTGATGGTGTATTAATTTCTTCGCTTATTGTAGACTATTAGACTATTATTAGGAAACTATCATCTATGTAAGTACGAAACAATGTAAGTTGCAAAAAAAAAATGATTTGCTGTAGCCGACCAAGGGCAGCGTGTTTTCAAAGTGCATCAGTTCGAGTGCAGTTGCATTGGTTGTCTCCACAAAAGTGATTCAGAACAAATAATTCGATTTACATAACATATGATGACATCTGCAAGTTAAATCGATCGATGATCTAAAGTTTCTCTCCATTTCAGAACGATATTAGAATGCTGCGTATGATTCGGAATCCAGTCCTAGGTCAACGCTTTATTAGGAAAACGTTTTCATTCTCAGCCGTCGCCAATAAACAATACGTCATAAAAGATCACTACGAGTTCGATCAGAAGGTACGTATACGGGTGTCACGAGCGAAACCGGTAGTGTATTTTGATTTTTGCTTATGTTTTTGACTGTTTATAAACACGCAATGATATTTAGTGACGATTAAAATTAGCTTTTGCGTGAAACTTGTTTGCGTACGTGATGTTATTTGATATTTTCCAAAACAACATGCGTCATCCAATGTGATTGATAATTTTTGCGATTATCTTCTATGGATGGCTTTGAGAAATCATAAGAAGAATTGTTGATGGCATTGTGCTGCATTATTAGACAATCGTTTAAAATTTAGATAAGAATGGTACTTGTCCTTTTGATAATAGGGAACAGAGTTACCGCAGTAATACTTTTGGACATAATTTCAATAAACATGGAAGGTGCTTCATTCGATTTTGAATTACAATATAAAAAGACTATGTAAAAATGGTTAAAGATTGATTAATATTTAGAGGTCGCATAAAAGACTTATGTCTGGGCTTATATTTGAATGAAGATTTTATTGAACCACTATGACCTACACACTTAATTTTGTTTGCCGATTGCCGGCAATTTTACAACAGTAACAGTAGTGGCAAGCTATACACTAATGAATTCGAGCTCTAGACATTTGTAAAAATCTTAATATGTAAACTATACGACCTGGTGGTGACCTCCTTTAGCTCAGTCCATAAACGCGCAGTTAAAAATGAAAACCATGCTGGAGGCGGCTGGGTTCGATTCCCGGTCCGGTCTACAAATTTTTCAGGTTGAAAAATGTCCCGACTTCCCTTGAGCATAGGGTATGATTGTACTTGCCACAAAATTCTCGGATAATATTTAACAATGACGTATCAACTTTTGTAATCAAAACATGTATTGTATTTTTTGCGCCTGCACATGTTCGTTATTAACTGCATTGTTACTGAATATTGAGATGGTATCATTTTTGTTCGAGTGAATGACGATAGCTGTTTTGTCAATATTGGTCCGGTCGAGATTTTGCAGCACTGAACGCATGTAGTTGTTGTTTGATTTTTTCGCTTTTGGAAACCATTGAAATGCGGTGCTATGCAAATGTTTGGTTGATCCCCAATTTGTTTTTTTTTTATCGGATCATAATCACTGCACACATTGATCTTTTGTGATATGTCTGTGTACTTTGATTAGTCAGGGTGTCTACTACTTTTTTTTTTTTTTTTTTTTTATATAAAAGTTTAGTTTTTATTGTCAGTGTTTTTACAATTAGTTTTCTATATCTAGATGAAAATTCAACTCAGCTACATCAATTCTACCGTTACTTCCATTAACAAAGCAGATGTAATTAATAAAAAGTTTAAGAATTTCCACACGTTTCGTATTTCCTATTCCTATTAAGGCAGGTCTCACCAGGTCTTCAAATGTGAGTCGTCTCCATCCATCCAAAATGCCTGTTATCCTCTGCTGCAGGACCGTCCAAGCCGGGCCAACACGAGTGCAGGTGCAGAATTTATGGAGGAGAGTTTCCGCCGTTTGGTTGTCACAATGTGTGCAGTTCTCGTCCGCCACACGCTGCATCACAAAAAATAGCTTGCGATGCTCGATCTTCTCATTGACCAGGAGGTACAGTCTCGTCCGCTGCGCTGAAGTGAGCTGCTTCGCCGCAATGTTGCGCCACGTGCGCGGCCAGTTGGTTGTCGGGCTATTACGTTCCACCCTTGGCAGGTCGGTTTGGAGAACGAAATGTTGGTGGATTTGATCGGCGGAGGGGTTTTGTTGGATTTGGTGAGGAATTTGGGATAAACTAGATAGGATTATTTTGAGGTCAGGAAGATCTATAGAGATTGCTGGGCGGGGATTTACGTGGAGCAGAAGGGATCTATAATAAGGAAGGGAATCGATCTCACGAAGGTGCCGGTTAATGGCCAACGACTTACATTTTAGTGCTGGTAGATGCAACTTCAGTCCTCCGTCTTCTCTGCTCCGTGCTAGCTGCATCATTGGGACGTGGGCCACCATTCCTCTCCACAGGAAGGTACCCATCGTTGATGTAATTTTCGCCGTGTGCTTGGCAAGGGGCGGCAGTATCGACGACAGGTACCATATCCTGGAGGTGCCGAACGTGTTCAGCATGATGACTCTTTGGTGCAACGTTAGTGTCCGTAGAGAGTGCAACCACATTTGCTGCGCGAACTTCCCTACCTGTGCATCCCAGTTCAACGTCGTCATCAAGCGGATTGAGTTTGCGAAGACAACACCCAGAATTTTGACTACATTCGCTGTTTGCAGCCATGGGGTGATGATCGCGTTGCCTTCGCAAAACCCAACGTCAATGGCAATAGTCTTCCGCAAGTTCAGTTTGGCGCCGGCGGCTAGCTCGAAGCGAGTGAACAGACCATTCATCGCCTCGATTTGCCCGACCGATGTGACGATGACGCTGATATCATCCGCGTAGGCCACTAGCAAATCATTTCCGCACGCTTGCTCGAGTCCGACCACCAGTGGGTGGAGGTACAGCACGAAGAGGTGCATGGACAACGGGTCCCCTTGCCGTACGGAGCGTTGGATTTCGAAAGAGCGAGAGAGATGCCCATTGATGAGCAGCCGTGAGGTTGAGCGATTGGCAATCTGCGCCAGCAGAGCGATGAGATTCTCGTTGAATCCGAGGGAGCGCATGGTCGAGAAGAGAAATGAGTGCCGGACCCGATCGAACGCATGATCGAGATCGTAGCTTATGAGCTTCCCGGCACGGCGATGGTGACGGAGACTGGCGATCCGATCTTTCAGAGCAAGGGTGGCTTGGAAGATGTTTCGCTCGGAGTTAGAGCATTTCTGTCCATCGCTCAGCACGTGGTGGGCTCTCATCACCCGCTCTAGCCTGGTCTTGATAATGCGGGAGAACAGTTTGTAATCGCTGTTGAGCAGCGAGATCGGACGGTAGGATCGTGCCGTGTTGTCTCCTCCTCTCTTTTTAACCAGCACGATAATGCCTTCCACAAATGCGGCGGGAAGATTGCCGTTGAGCGCTTCGTTGAGCAGCAGGTTCAGCTCTCGGTGGATAACGTCGAACATGCGGTAATAAAACTCTCGCGGGATGCCGTCGCAGCCGGGAGACTTTCTGGGAGCACTTGTTGTTATTGCCGACAGAATTTCTGCCGTGGTGATTTCACTCGTGCAGGCTTCATTCAGTGGGTCGTTCGGCGGAACGGCTCTCTCACAAACGAAGCTGTTGTCGTCTCCACCGTTTGCTTCTTCCGAGTAGAGCTCGGAGAAATAGCCCAGCAAGTGCGCCTCGATCGCTTGCGGTTCCTCGATGTTTGCATTTTGCTCCGTGGCCAGTTGTGTGATGACGGTTCTCTTTCTCCGCCTCTCCCCCAACTGGAATATCGACAGTGGTTCCCCCGCCACGTGCGTTTCGTTGATCCGCATGAACGTATGGGAGAAATTACGCTGCAGTGCCAACATTTCCCCTTTCAATCGATTGATCGTGGTTATCAGTTCTGGGTGCTGGTAATACCCGTCGTACGCTAACCGTAGCTCCGCATAGAGGCGCTGGTGTGCGCTGTAGAATTCGTCGAAAACTTCTCGAGATTTCCACTTGAAGAACGATTTTATTTTAGGCTTAGCGTACGAGAGCCACCATTCCATCCATGACCCGTAGTTCCTGCGTTGGCGGGTCCAATATTGCCACTTATATTGGAACTCCCCAACGTTTTCGTCAGTTAGAAGGTGGGGCCGAAGTGACCAGAATCCACGGCCGTGTTCGTGTCCAAGTTGGGGGAGGCATATTCGGAGTGTCAGCGCTTTGTGGTCGGTGAACGAGCAGACATGCGTGTGTGCTGCTCGCAGATTATCGCGCAAAACGCTGCTGACATAAATGCGGTCGAGGCGCGATTGAGCATTTCTGCTGACGTAGGTGAAGCCTGTATCGCGTGGACAAAGCTTTTCCCACACATCGTGCAGCTGGAGCTGCTGCACAGCTGTTTTGAGTGAGGGGCTTGTGTTGGGGCTACTTGAATCGCATGCTCGCAGCACACAATTAAAGTCACCAGCCAGAATCACATGCTGTGTCCGATGACGGAGATAGTAGGCAAGCGTCCCATTAAAGAAATCCTCCCGAGCTGCGCGCTGCGAAGAGCCGGAGGGAGCGTAAACGTTGCAGATAGTTGTATCTTGCACTCTCAGCGCAAGCAGTCTGCCGTCCAGACTTCGTTCGACGTGAGTGGCATGGATGTGGTCCTTCAGAGCAATAGCTGTACCTCTTCTCATGTGGTCTACATTGGCGAAAACGACGAAGCCAGGCAAGGAGAGCTGCTCGTTTTCAACCTCTTGCAGACACACAATATCGAGGTTTTGGCTACTGATGAAGGTTCGGAGCGCATTTAGTTTTGTAGGGTTCGTGATGGTGCCGATGTTGATGGAAGCAACGTTGTAGGATGTGAGAGCCATTTATGGGAGCTTCTCTCCACCCCGCTCTTCGTCCTCGCTGGTCCGGCGCGGTTTCTTTGCTCGGCGGTCGGCCCTGTCCCGCCTGCTACTCGTGGATGTTGAAGATTCGTCGGTTTCGTTGCCATTCCCGCTCTTGCTCTGCGATCGCAGCGCGTGTGGGGGCTTCTTGAACAGGTCAACCGTAGCCGTGCTGGTGTTGGCTAGTTGGGCAGTTACCGATGGCACTCGTTGCGACGACGACATTTGCGCTAGTAGTGGCTGCGGACACAGGGACGCTACAGCTGTTGCGGCCTGGCTACTACTCTGCGCATTCGTGTCCGTCTGCTTCGGCAATTCGGGAAATGCACCCAACGTTGCCGTTGGTGGTGCGGTAGGTTTCGGCTTGACTGGTTTCGGACCAGCTGGTTTTGGTTGCGGTCGTGGACCCGTTTGCTTCGTCACGTTAGCGTAGCTCTTCTGGACCAGAAGCTTTTTGTTCTGGACACATGATATGCCAGTGTGCGCTTGCTCGTGACAGTGGCGACAGGATTGAAGCTGTCCCTTGTAAACGACAAGCGCTCGTTCGCCGTCGATGGTGACCCACGAGTCAATATTTTTCTTCACGAGCATTCGAGCAGACCATATGCCGAGCGAAATACCACCGAAATCGTAGCCTTCACCCCACATTAGCTCGCGAATCGATAGCACCTCACCGAACGCGCTCAGGAACTCTACCACTTTCTCTTCGGACACGTCTTCGGGCAGGTCATGCACCTTCACTTCCACACTACCATCCTCCATGGTAATACGAAGCTTGTGCTTCTTTCCGTCCAGTTCAACTTCGTGCTTCTCGTCATGATTGTCAACGATTTTTTGTGCTAACGCCAGGTCATTGACCTTGACGAAAGCACATGCTCCACCGCGGTGGCACTGTAGTCTCTGCACGTCTTCTTTCTTCAGGCCGAGCACTGAACGGCAGAAGCCGTGCACTTTCTCGAACGACGGCTTCACTGGGAAACTCGAATAGTCAATCTTGAAAGTGTTTTCACGCCTCATCGCGGACACTGCACACGCGACGCGGCACGATACGGATAGCAAAGCTAAAAAATATCTTCAACGGCTTGACTATTGAAATAGCGCTAAAACGACAAGAAAAACACGTCCGCGCGTCTCAGAAGCTGAGCGATAACTGCTCGAAAAACCCCAGAAAACTAGGAATCGCCAGAGAATTTTATTTTAACTAGGAAAACCAGGAATTCTCCGAGGGGAGTGACTCTATCTACGATGCAGGAAAAATTGTGTTTTGCTGTGGCTAGCTGCGCGCACGCTGAGTAGATAGAAAGAAGTAAATTTCCAACAAAGTTTTGAGGTAAATTTCAAAGAAATACTATGAAGAGGTTTTTTTAAGTTTTTATTAAGGTTATTCCTATAATCGTCTTTAGAGAACTCAAAGAAGGGTTCTTAGGGGCCATTTCAAGGAATTCAGAAGAATACTTAGTGAATACTGAGGTGAGATATGTTCAGGAGAATTCTTTGAGGAATTCCTAGGTACAACGAGAATTGTTAAGAATTTTATAATCAGGGTGAATCATTTTCATTTTATGATGTACAAGGGGGTCAGGGGCCATGTCACCGATGTGAATATTCACACCATCCATAATACACCAGGGAAGGGGAGAGGAGTGAGCAACACAGCATCTTTACCCATGGGGGTTAAAAAAGTTCTGCGACGTACACTTATGGTGAACCAGCTGCTCAGGGATTGTAGAAAGGAAAAGGGTTGGGTAGGTTTAAAATGCAGAATTAGGTGCCGTTGCGATTGAATGCGCATGTTTAAATAACGTTGATCCAGGTACCTATCATATAAATTTGCATATCATCTAGTTATGATTATTGTCAATAATACTTACATTTCGATAAAGATAATGCTACCTATTTTACCTTTCATGTGATATCGATCATCACAGAATCCAACCTTGAATCGCATCACTAATTTTGACCTCGTTCCGAGAAGGGGCTCATGGTTATCTTCTTCTTCTTCAGGTTCGCTCACCACCCGGAATGAAGGCTCGGTGCCGTTAGTAATATCAAACAGTGTTACATACAAACGAAAAAGAGATACAACCAGGATTAGTTTTTTAAAATAATAGTTTTATCTGAATACCCAACTAACCATATCTCAGTGACATTGTCCCACTCTGAACCCACACCTAAAGCTATTTTGTGATTATATGGTTACTTTGATACTCACATGAAATGTTGTGCAAGTACCACAAGTTCAACAACGCCCAACTATGGACAGCTCAATGTTAATACCATTTACTCTTTAAATCCGCGTACACCAACATGATAATCTTCTAAGAAACACCTAAGAATGTATAGAGATAAAGCTCAAAAATACAGTTTTAACTAATGGTACTTTATAAACATCAAACTGTCCAATATTGGACCCTGCCAACACACGGCGCCTGCACGGTAATGTGGGCTGTCAGAACGGTTCATCTGTTGCGAAGTGAAGTCAGGCATAACATTTGATAAGGGCACAAAAGCATTTGTAAACAAACTTTCTACGGCCCTTTACACGCGAACCAAAGTACGCCCATGCAAACCAATACCACTTTCGGAAAGGTGATAGTTGGCCCTATCCGATGATGTTGTTGGTTTGCGTGAGCGTAATTTGGTTCGCGTGTAAAGGGCCTTAAAAAGTTTGTTTACAAATCGAAAGTGAGCTTGCATAAGGGCGAATACGCGATGATCGATTCTCTTCATCGATTTTCTCTTTGCATTGCTACAGCTAAGCGAAACAATTTTCTAGAATTTGTTCAATGCAGATTTGTAACAGGTTGTATTGGCTATCAAAAGCATCAGCCAACGCACCGAGAAACGTTAAATCTAGCGAGTTATTAACAAAAGAGAAAATCGACGAAGAGAATCGATCATCGCGTATAGGCCCTTATGAATGCTCACTGTCGAAATGCTTTTGTGCCGTTATCAAATGTTATGCCTGAAGTGCTTCTCGAACTGAAGCGATACATTTCTCAATTTTTCAACGTTATCCTAACGTAAACTTAATATTATCACCTATATATTCTGTGTGGCAAACACGCCCAGACATAAACGATAATATGGGTGTATATCTTCACTACGGTCATCGAAAGCACTTGCATTCCACTCAGGCACTTTTGAGCAAACTGCAATCACTCTCTCATACTCGAAATGTGCCACGACCAAATTGGCACAACGACGCCCGCCCTAAACGCTATCTGACCAAAGCGCAGGGAATTTTATAATCAGGGTGAATCAAAAGAGTATTATAGAGCAAATGATAAGGGAATACCTAAGCTGAACTCTGAGGTAATTTTTATTTGTTCCTAAGGAAATTCTTGAGACAATTCTAAAAAAAAACCTGTATAAAGTTGCAAGTTGATTCAAACACAGAAATTTTTCCGAGATCACAATGCAATGCCTTTAAATGTTTTAAACAAATGTTAAATTTTAACTTTTATTAGTTTTGACTATAAACGAAGACATCATATCAAGCGAAGCGACATCATAGCGACAGATACAGTAGCGCTGCACTTGAGCGAAGGGGGAAGCAACGCATAGAAAAATGAGCAAATACACAAACCTTTTTTCTGAGGATGTAATCTTTGCTATCAAATTCGTTCGAATCATTTACCTTTGAGCGGCAGATGACGGGATTGTACCAACAATCAATACGAAACTAACGATTTTAAATTGGCTCACCACTTTAGTAGCCTATTGGTCCCAAGCAAACGATTAACGTACCCTATTCTAGTTGAAATTCTATTACTACACTATGTTTGTTTTGATTCGCTATGAAAGTTTGACAGATAACATCAGGGGTGTGTGGATTCATGCAGAACATGCAGGGGTGAGTGAAATAGCTTGGAACTGCTTGGGACCGTTGTTCTGGTACTGAGTGAGCCAAAAATAATAATGATTTTCTTCGGGACCCAGTGGTCTTAGAGTTACCTCTATTAGCGAATTCGTTTATTATCGGGGTTGGAACCAGTTCCAACCCAGTGCGAAACCGAACTTTTTGTCAGTGCGAACCTCAACCTGAGCTAGGTTTTAAAAACAAACGAGCAAACTGACGTTTGTCAGAAAACAAGCAGAACCAATCTTGATACCCGATCCAGGTTGGAACTGAATAATAAACGAATTCGCTATATGATTGTACCTGTCTCATAGCGGTCATACGAGAAAATGGAAGAGTTGCCAGTCTTTTTGATAAGTTGTCTTCGCTAAAAATCTGTTATCTTACAACTGTTTGTAACATTTATATTAGCGTCGCGACTCCACTAATGTTTGCAAGAAGCGTGGATCCGGAAGATAGAAGGTGACAGCTGTACCAAACCTTTACCATTAAAAAGAGGGAACTATTCCCGACATGTTGACACTATCGGTTATAACTATATCGCATATTGAAAACCATTAAATTAATGATCGAATAACAGTAAAACGTTATGGGAAATGATAAATAAGTATCCGAGCTGGTTAACTGGAGTACCAACTAACCATCTGATTTTTTGCCGCCCGCAGGTTATCAACAGTGACAACCCGGTGATCGTCAACTTCCACGCCGAATGGTGCGATCCGTGCAAAATATTGACCCCTCAAATGACAAAGATGCTGGGCCCATCGGAAGAGATCGACCTGGCGATAGTAAACGTAGACGACAATGCCGAACTGGTGCAAACGTTCGAGGTGAAAGCAGTACCAGCAGTTTTAGCCTTCCGGAACGGAGTCGTGGTAGACAAATTCATCGGTCTCGTAGACGCCAATATGATCGAAAACCTTATAGGGAAACTGTCCAAGAAGAAGGTACAGTAGCACAAGTGCTTGAGGTCGCCGCAAGGGGTTCGTGACTAGAATCGTGCGCTCGCGACAAGACAACCCGAGACCGCAGAACGGTTGTGGGAACTGTGCTAGACGGGGAACAAAACAACAACAACAAGAAAGACACCATGTGTGATGCTATTTATGTACAATAACGATGGCAATACAGACCGTTACGCTATATACTTTAATTCGTTACCATTACGCCAATAAATTTAGGATATTACGATGATTTTAGAGAGATTTATTGCAGTTATGGAACGTTTCCGAAAAATAATGCTTGTTTTATTGTGCTATGTTTTATTGCTCATACTCCATATCCCGAGCAAAGTCGGTTAGCAAAATGAAAGCAAATCGATATTCAAGTTTGCAGTTCCTATCATAATGAAAACTCATTTTGATTTCAATTGTCGCGACAGAAGTCTGATATCATATTGTGCTTTCATTATGCAGTCAAGACTTTTTAAATCAAAGCAACTTAACCTGAAGTTCTGCTGTTAATTTCTTGTTTAAAATTTGATTTAAGTGCATCTGTCGTTGAAGTAATGATTATTGTTTAACACATTTTAGGTCATTCGTGACTAGCCCGAGGTGACATTTGAGCTCAAGTCTTTCAGCGTGAGAAGCATGGATGCTAACCATTTACGCCAGGCCCGTATTCAGTTAACATTATGAATGCAAAATCCGTGATCAAATTGATTTCATTGAAAGCAGGATTAGTTTTCCGTTTGATTCAACAGTGTAAAATGTTGTTATGTTAACCGTTAAGTCAACCAAAATGGAGTACTCAAAATAAGTTACATCATAACAGCAAATTTTGATTTCAATTTGATCTCTGAACTTTGCTCGGGATACCACTCACTTTTGTACTATTTTTCAGATCAATTGCAATAGGTGTGTACACTCCCGATCGATTCTGAGAATATCAGACATGAATATTTAATGTGAATTTTGATAAATAGTGTACCTTTAAGAGAAGTTTCAGTATAAAAAATTAAAAGATATATTAATTTTAGTGGGAATGACCCCGATGAAAACTGCACATTGTTGTCCGAATACGTATCTGTCATCTTTTTCAGGTTTTTTAATCATATTTAACCAGTTACTAGATTTCATTCAATACCTTTCAAATGACCTATAAAGATCGAAAATCGTCGTTCGTAAAATGGCAGAGATATGATCAAACAGCAATTTATGCAACAAGTTACAAAAAGAATACTTTTTCAGCCCTAGTCGTAGTTTATCCAACTAGGCTTACCGAGCCCATGTGTGCGATATCCTACGCAGGTGTGGAAGCTGCCTTCCAGCACATTCGTTTACCGTCAATGGATGGCAATCGATGTCTGTCGGTGATTAGCACTAGATTGCGGACCAGAGACCGACGTTAAATAAAGGAATGAAGAAGAAGAAGGCTTTTCGAGTTTGATAATAACGAGTACTGAATTTTCCAAAGATTTGCAAACAACATTTTTTGCACTCAAGAGAGTGTCGAAAAGTAGAGCTTATCGGCACTGGGTGCTGAAAAGTAGTACTTTTCGACATTGTTATTATAGCTAGATAAAGTAGGCCATTATGTTATTGAAAAGAGTGTCGAAAAGTAGCACTTTTCTGTACTGAGTGTCAAAAAACATCCTTAGCACTCATTACTGGAAAGTGTCGCTTTTCGACACTGTTTTAAATAACATAATGGCCTACATTTTACTAAAATAACAATGTCGGAAAATACCACTTTTTAGCACCCAGTGCCGAAAAGCCCTAAATCCTGTTTTTTTTATCATTTTCCGTACATATCTCCCGGACCAGTTGACCGATTCCAAAAAAAATCAAAAACGTTCTATGGGACGATGAAACTTTTAACTTGGTGGTTTTTGCGTCCGTTGAGTGGTTACCGAGAAACACGTCTTAGAAAAGTGTGTGTTACCTACACACACACATACACATATACACGCACATATGGCTTTTCAGGTTTCTACCTGTACAACATCAGTGATCAGTGATCAGCAGTGATAATGAAATAATCATTTGTATTTGTATAATGCAAGACCAGGATATAAAGTTTTTGTATGACACATAAAACCTATCAATTTCGTTTTCAGAGGGTCACAATTATCGATTTTATCGCGAGCGCTCAGCGATCATAAAATCGCTTCTGAAAACGAGATTGACAAACATTGACAAGCTTAAAAATGGCAGGGCTGGTAGCGCGATATAATAGTAGTGACTTTAGTGACTAAAATTACGGAAATAGTGACCAAATATTGACTTTTAAATAATAAATAAGTAGCCAATAGTTACATTTATATGATAACTCAGAAACTCAAACAAGGTTTAATACTGAAATAAACTGTTTTTGTCATGGAACTTAAAATCACATTTCATGAATTTCTCTAATTATATATAGAAACTCTCAACAGAATCTCCTATTAAGAGCATTTGAAGTGATTTGAATAATTTCCTTTTGATTACGTTATTCATGATGGCCAGCAAATAGCAATTTCCGGATTTTTCCAACGATTTTTTTTTAATGTTACTGGTTGAGCAATATACGTTAAAATTTATGTTCAAACCAATAAACCATAATAAACCAGCTTAAATATGGTTAAATAGATCATTACATCGACAGCAATTTTTTTTTTCGAAGATTTGAAATTGATTCTGTTTTTGAAATCTTTAAAATTTTGATATAACTTTGATAATTCACTAAGAATATTTCATATATTTTTTCAGAATGATCTCAAGAACCTTTTTAGAATTATTCCGCTCCTATTAAACTTGCTTCTAAAACAAGCTTAACAAAAATACTATTGCATTCTTGAAATTCTTTGCAGAACAATGGACAACATTCTTGGAAATAGATTATTTTCGTAGTTGGAGATGCTGAACGTATAATATCAGACTTAAAGTGGACATTTTAATAAACTATAGAGTTGATAGTTCCATTGTACTACGGCAGTGTGAAAATTGTATATATATAATAAAAATCTTAAAACAATTTTGAGTAAGGTACGAATCGGGTAGAGCATCCCTTTTACCAAACTCATCCATTGATGAGGGATAGTGAGGGGTGTTTCACCTCGCCACACTTGCAAAAGGGATGACCGCCGATGTGCGGAAACAGTTTTATCAATTGTTTCACACTCAAATCACCATCTGACGTAAGCATCTACCTGATTGCTCTACCTTATTTGTACCTTCCTAAAAAATGCCCTTTACTCGCTTTCTACTCCCTAATAAAAATAACCATAAAAGAGAGCTTAACCACGTTTTTGGGGTATCATCCAAACCATTTGTAGGATAGTTTACCCATCCGGGACACAGTTCGTTTATGGTATTTGTTTATTAGGGCTTCTACTTTCTATATACAATTTTCACACTACCGTACTACAACGGAACTATCAACTCTTTACTTTCATCTCCTCATCTATCGCATAAAATGTTCACTTTAAGTCTGATATTTGACTTTAAGCATATCCAAATATAAAAATCGATAACTTCACGCATGAATTAATAAAACATAATTCGTTAAAGTAGATTATATTCGAATTTTTAATTATTCTTCCAGGATTTCCATGAAAGTTCTTCCCATAAATCTATTTTAAATTTACTGGAATTCTCCTTAAACTGAGAAAAAGTCAATGATTGTTTCTATGTGTTCCACACATAGATTTTTGCAATTAAATTTATTTTTTTAACTAGTTCGTTTATTTGGGAGGCTTAATCGCGTTAGCTTTACGGAGCCGGTAGTGCGGTTCTAGTTACGTCTGGATTTCGACCGGCTATGGTGACCAGTGGGCGACGATGAGACTCATCGAGACGGGGGGATAAGACAAACAAAAACTATTAAAGTGAGACAAAAGACAAAGGAATTAAATTCTAATACTAGACATTTGAAGAAACACATAAACCGACTGCATATAGCAACATAGGGTTGTCTTCCTTGGGCCTCAAGGGTATTCAAAAGTCGCTCTCTGGCGGCGTCATTATCCGTACATTGCCAAACTGCGTGATCGATGTCATCGTAACCGTTTCCACACCGACAGATGTTGCTGTCTACGAGGTTTATTCTATTGAGATGAGCATCTAGCGAGTAGTGGTTGGACATAAGTCTATTCATCACGCGAATGAAGTCACGACTTAAGTCCAAGTCTTTAAACCACGCTCTCGAAGAAACATTAGGAATAATTGAATGTAACCACCGTCCAAGATTTCCATTGTCCCAATCGGTTTGCCAACTCGAAAGGGTACTCTGACGCACTAAATGGTAAAATTCATCGTGTGAAATTTGCCTGTCATAAAATTCGCCTTCCTGCGCGCCCACCTTTGCGAGAGAGTCCGCCTTCTCATTGCCTGGGATTGAGAAATGTGAGGGGACCCATACAAAGGTAATCATATATGATCTTTCGACCAGTACACTCATCTGCTCCCTTACCTTTGAAAGGAAATAAGATGAGTGCCTACATGGTTTCATCGACCGAATAGCCTCAATCGAACTGAGACTATCCGAGAAGATGAAGTAATGGTCTGTGGGCATATTGGAAATCATCCCCAATGCGAAGTTGATTGCTGCCAGCTCAGCAACAAAAACGGAACAAGGTTCCTGGAGTTTGCGGAAGGCGCTAGAGTTTTCATTGAAGACACCGAAGCCAGTGGATCCACTGAGACGAGACCCGTCTGTAAAATATCTGTTTACGCAATTGACGTGTTGGTACTTTTCAGTAAAAATACGCGGGATAATAATAGTTCGAAGTTGATCTGGAATCCCGTTAATCACTTGTTTCATGGACAGATCATATTCAATTGAGGAACTACAATTGGTGAAGTGAGCACGGTCTGGAGTATAACAAGGAAGACACATATCCGACGATATGTAGTGGTGGTAGATTCTCATAAATCGAGATTGTGTGTTCAGCCCAAGAATTTCTTCAAAATTTGCAATTATAAGTGTGTTCGTCACTCCGCATTTGATTAGTATTCTGAGAGAGAGCTCCCAGAAACGGTTCTGGAGGGGTGTTAATCCTGCCAGAACCTCGAGACTCATGTTATGCGTTGAGTGCATACGCAGACAACGATATTGAATTCGTTCCAATTTTATTAGGTGACATTTTCTTGCCGAGAGAAAGCAGAAAGAGCCGTACTCTAGAACAGAGAGAATAGTTGTTTTATAAAGCGTTATGAGGTCTCCCGGATGAGCACCCCACCATGTGCCGCAAATTGAACGGAGAAAGTTGATCC